GATAGATAACACGGGAACGGCGGGGGAAACCAATCCCTGGCAGCGGGAGGTGTTTCTGGCGATCTTTGCGGAATGCTGCGCGCGGCTCTTGCGCGAAGGAGACGATCGAGACAAGTTATAGGTTAGCGCATCAGCATAGCAATAGCAATGCACTCCGAAACATTTTAAGTGAATCATGTTGACTGTAATATATGCTATTTAATTGGGGAAGAATTGGTAATGATTCAATAAATTTAAGATAGATTTATATACATACTAAGTAGTAGTATTCTTAATGATTATTTCTTTTTTATTCAAAGTAATAATTTTTAATTTTTTTATCATCATGATAATATTTTTTTTATAAGACTCATAAAATATTTCATCCTTTCGTGATGCAATATATTGTTCATTATATTTGGTTTGAAATGAATTATAAAATTTAGAAATGAGTTTACTCTTATTGACGTGCTCATTACAAATATTCACTAGAGAATTAAACAACAAAATAGAAAATGTTAGTTTAAAGATAATATTCCTTATCTTTTAAGAAATTTTATAAAATTTAGTTTATTCCATTTTTCTGTAGGTGTGATTGTTCTCACTGATGTTTCTTTCTCTTTTTTCTTCTCTTCTTTTTTATATCTCATCCTCTCTGTTTTTGCAGATTGGATGATTTAGTTTCTGAGCAAAAATATTATGCAACCCAAACATTGGGCTCAATTAGTTTTTCTGAATCTATATATTTGCTTATCTTATCCATTCATGTCTTAAATTCTAGAGGGTACTTTATTTGGTTTTGCTTTAATTTATTTATATTTTTGATGGAGTTATATGTTTTATTTCAAAACATGATAACTCAACCATTATAGAAAATTTGTTATTTACTTATTTATCTTTGGTCTCACAATCTTCTTGGTTTTTATGCTGCTTATTTTATTTAATTTGATTGCTTAGATATGATCCGTATTTTCTAGCTTGAGTTTCAATAATTTTTTTATGGGATGTTTTATAATAAAATCATGTTATTATTTTTCTTCTCTTCTTATTAATTCATTTTTCTTGTTCGGTTGGATTACTTCTTTTTTGAACAGTAATCATACTTGAAGTTATTTTTTTCTTGACTTGACTGCCTGCATGAGTTGATACTTTGGATTCATAGGTCAGATTCTTGACTGAGTTGGTCTTCTTATCTGGAAGATGTCTAGAAGCTTCACTTATGTGTGAGTTGCTTCTTTAGAGAATTCTCTTCTCCTTGGTTGGATTTCAAGATGTTCCTTTGGATTGTTTATTTTAGATCTTTGCCTAGTTGGATCTTTAGTGGTTGAAAATTTTGGTTTGGGAGCAGTTTCTGTTTAATTAGTTAGATTTGCTTTTTTCCATTGTCTATAGTTTGTTGTTTCAACTACTATTTGTTTTGTACTCCTTTAGTTTTAGGAGTTCTTTTTTCCCCCTTTTTGTTGAGTTGTAAATTTTTTCCTTGTGTTATGGTAAATTATTAACTTCGTACTTTTTCTTTTCAATAAAGCGGAGTGTGACCCTCATTTAAAAAATAAAATAAAAATGTATATACATTCTCTTTAATTCTTGTGTGTGCGCGTGTGTGTGTAAGATGAACTCTTAAAGATTGAGGTGTC